ACTTTTAAGTTTAGTCTGTACCATTAACATTTTCTCCATCACTTTCTTAAATTGAGACAATTAACGAAACAATAAACCAAACCCTGATTTGTAGCCTTTGTTGATTTTCAAGGCTTAAAAGCTCACACTGAAAATTGAACAACTAGTTCTTTCAAGCTGGGTACCTGCCTTCTTTCCCCAAATATTCCTAGTCCCCTGTTTTTCAGGTCCCTTTTGGGTAATGTCTTCCCCCATTAAAATGTATGCTCTCTGACAGCAGAGATTGTCTCTTTTTCGCTTGGATTTATATCCCCAGAATTTGGCACAGTGCCTGATACTTAATAAGTGATTAATAAATTCTTCTTTCCTTCCTTGTTTCCTAGAGAGCCACTGGAGTTTATCAAGTAGGGAAACAGAATGGCCAAATCTTCCTTTGAAGAAAATGAATTCTACTGGGACATGATGAGTTTGAGATCTCTATGGCACATCCAATTGGAAATGTCTAAATAGATAGTTACTGTCAGACTGACATTGAAGGGAGAAGACAGGCTGGATATTTGGAAGTAATTTGCAGAGAGATAATAACTAAGCCCATAGGACGAGTGTAGAGAGAGAAGAAAAACAGATTCAATATGGGGCCCAAGGGAACACCCACAATAAAGGGGCATGATATGGATGGTGAGCCAGCAAAAGAGATTGAGATGAAGCAGTCAGACAGGTAAGAGGAGAACTAAAAGAGAGGAGAGCCATGAAAATCAAAAGAAGAGAGACTATTCAGGAGAAGAATGAATAGTCAAAGGTGTCAGATGTTGCAGATAATGACAATAATATTAATGGCTAATGTTTGTATCGTGCCTTAAGGTTCACAAAGCACTTCACATAGGTTAACACATTTAATGTTCACAGTAACCCTGTAAGATAATTGCTATTATCATCTGCATTTTACACATGAGGAAACTGAGGTGGGAAGAGGTTTATGATTTGCCCAGGGTCACACAACTAATAAAAGTCAAAGGCAGGATTGGAACTCAGATCTTCCTGACTCCAAGTTCAGTATTCTATCCACTCCACCACCTACCTACTTTAGGCGAATAAATTGATCAACAGATTGGCATTTTCAAAATATTATATTTTTTCCAATTAATGTAAAATAATGTTAAAAATTTTTTTAAATTTTGAGCTCCAAATTCTCTCCTTCCCCCAACTGAGCAGGCAAACAATTTGATATAGATTGTTATATACATGCAGCCATATAAAACACATTTCCGTATTAGTCATGTTGCAAAAGAAAACACAGGAAAAACATGAAAAATAAAGAAAAAAATTTTTTAAAATTATGCTTTGATCGGCATTCTGACTCCATCAGTTCTTTTTCTGTATGTGGATGGCATTTTTCACTGAGTCCTTAGGAACTGTCTTGGATCATTGTATTTCTGAGAAGAGCCAAGTCATTCACAGCTGATCATCATAAAATATGGCTGTTATTCTGCACAATGATCTCCTAGTTTTTCTTACATCCCTTTGCATCAATTCATGTAAGTATTTCCAGGTTGTTTTTTTTTTTTGAGAGCATTCTTCTCATTGTTTCTGATAGCATGATAATATTCTATGACATTTATATACCACAGCACCATTCCCCAATTGATGACCCAACTTTTAAGTCTTTGCCACCACAAAAAGAGCTGCTATAAATACTTTTGTAATATGGGTAATTCCACACCTCCCCACATTCTTTTTTTTTTTTTAATCTGGTGTGAGGGCTTGTCAAGCCTAGCAGTGGTATTGCTGGGTCAAAGGGTATGCATAGCTTTATAGCCTTTGAGCATAGTTCCAAATTGCTCTTCAGAACTTCACAACTCCACCAAGAGTACATTAGTGTCCCATTTTCCTCAGATCCCCTCTAATATTCATCATTTTCCTTTTCTGTCATATTAGCCAATCTGATAGGTGTGAGATGATACCTCAGAGTTGCTTTAATTTGCATTTCTCCAACTGATAGTGATTTAGAGCACATTTTTATATGACTATAAATAGCTTTGATTTCTTTGTCTGAAAACTGCCTGTTCATATCCTTTGACCCTTTATCAGTTGGGGAATGACTTGTATTCTTATAAATTTGACTTAGTTCCCTATATATTTGAGAAACAAGACCTTTATCAGAAACACTGACTCTAAAATTTTTTTCACATTTATGATTACTGTGTATTTCCCTCCATCCTGTTTTTTCCTCCTGTTTATCCTTCTCTTGCTCTCTCTCTTTCCTTTCACTCTGTCTCTCCTCAAAAATGTTTTACTTCTGACTTTTACCTTCCTCAATCCACCCTCCCTTCTACCAGCCCCCTCCTTCTCTTATCATCTAGGGTAAGATAGATTTCTCTAATCAACTGAGTGTGTATGTTATTCTCTCTTTGAGCCAATTCCAATGAGAGTAAGGGTCAAGCATTCTCCACTCCTCCCCCCCCCACTTCACCTCCCATGTTCCCCTCCGCTGTATAACCTCTTTCGTGCCTCTTCTAAGTGAGATAATTCACTCCTTTCAACGTTTCCTTTCTCCTTTCTCCCAGTGCATTCCTCTTCTCACCCCTTAATTTAATCTTTTTAGACATCATCCCATCATATTCAACTCACATCTGTGTGCTTTGTGTGTGTATACTTCTAACTCTTCTAATTACACTAAAGTTCTTAGAAGTTACAAATGTAATCTTCCAATGTAGGAATGTAAACAGTTTAACCTTATCGAATCCCTTATGATTTCTCTTTCTGCTTTTTTTATGCTTCTCTAGTCAAATGTTCTATTCAGCTCCCGCTTTTTCATCAAGAATGCTTTAAAGTTCTTGTTTCATTAAATATACATTTTTCCTCCTGAAGGATTATACTCAGTTTGTGATTCTTGATTGTAATCCAAGCTCCTTTGCTCTGTGGAATATCAAATTCCAAGCTTTCTGATAGTTTAATGTAGAAGCTGATAAATTTTGTGTTATCCTTTATCCTGATTGTGGCTCCATGATATTCAAATTGTTTGTTTCTGGCTGCTTGTAATATTTTCTCATTGACCTGGGAGTTGTGGGATTTGGCTATAATATTCCTGGGAGTTTTCCTTTTGAGATATCTTTTAGGGAGTGATTGGTGGATCCTTTCAATGTCTATTTTACCCTCTGCTTCTAGAATATCAAGGAAGTTGTCCTTGATGATTTTTTGAAAGATGCTGTCTCAGCTCTTTTTTTTTTGTTTATCATGGCTTTCAGGTGTCTAATAATTCTCAAATTATCTCCCCTTAACCTATTTTACTGGTCAGTTGCTTTTCCAATGAGATATTTCACATTTTCTTCTGTCTTTTTATTTTTTTGATTTTGTTAACTTCCACTTGCTCAATTCTAATTTTTAAGGAATTATTTTCTTCAATGAACTTTTGTACTTCCTTTTCCATTTGGCCAATTTTGCTATAGATATATATATATATATATATATATATATATATATATATATATATATATAATATATATATATATATATATATATATATATATATATATATATATATAAACTATTTATTAATAGACAAGGCCAGTGAAGTTGTTTACTTCTTCTTGGACACACCCACTGTGTGACCCCTGCGGCCTGTAGTCTTGGTGTGCTGGCCTCGGACTCAGAGACCCCAGAAGTGCTGAAGTCCACGATGTGCCCAAATCTTCTTCAGTAGCTCCAGATCTTCACGCAACTTATTGTCCAGACCGTTGGCCAGAACCTGGCTACATTTTCCATCCTTTACGTCCTTTTGCTTGTTAAGGAACCAGTCTGGAATCTTGTATTGCTGGGGATTCTGCATGATGGTGATCACAAGCTCCACCTCATCTTCAGTGAGCTCACCAGCCCTCTTGGGGAGATCAATGTCTGCTTTCCTCAGTACTACATGAGCAAATCTTCGACCCACACCCTTGATGGCTGTGATGGCAAAAGCTATTTTCTGCTGTCCATCAATGAGGGTGTTGAGCACTCTCAAAATGTGTTGGAACTTCTCAGGGATTACAAGAGACATGGCTGCAACAGTGGCGTGAGAGCCTTCTCTGGAAGAGCCCAATTTTGCTTTTTAAGGAGTTCTCTTCAATGGATTTTTGTGCCTCATTTATCATTTGACCTATTATGGTGGTTGTTGTTATTGTTGTTTTGTTTTTTGTTTTTTGGCAATTGGGGTTAAGTCACTTGCCCAGGGTCACACAGCTGGTAAGTGTCAAGTATTTGGTCTGAGGCCGGATTTGAAGTCAGGTCCTCCTGACTTCAAGGCCAGTGCTCTATCTACTTTGCCACCTATCTGCCCAACCTGTTCTGTTTTTTGAGGTATTATTTTCTTGAATATTTTTGTGCCTCATTTATCAAGCTGTTGACTTTTTTTTCGTTATTTTCTTGCATTACTTTCATCTTTCTTCCCAATGTTTCCTCTATTTCTCTTACTTGGTTTAAAAAATCCTTTTTGAGTTCTTCCAGGAATTTTTTTAGAGGCCTGAGACCAATTCATATTTTTCTTTGAAGTTTTGTATGTAGCTGTTTTGACATGATTATCATCTTCCCAGTTTGGGTTCTCACCTTCCCTGTCACCATAATAACTTTCTATGGTCGGCTTCTTCTTCTTCTTCTTCTTCTTTTTTTTTTTTTGGTTATTTGCTCATTTTTTTCCCAAACCTATTTCTTGACTTTTAATTTTATGTTAAAGTTGGACTCTTCTTCCAGAGCGGAGGGGGCACTGTCCCAAGCTTTTGGGTTTTTATGCTGCTGTTTTCAAAGCTAGTTCTGGCAGGGGGCAGTCTGTAAGTTTTCATTTCTTCCAAGGTGGTATGATCTAAGGAGAGGTGTGCTTTGGTCTGTTAGCAACCATAAGCGCTCTATTCCACCTTGGAACTGTGATCATGGCCCCTGCTTCTGCTAGTGCTCCTCTTCTCCTAGGGACTGTGACTGAGAACCAAGTAAGGGCAATGTGCCAGGGTCCTGCTCCCAGTGCCAGCAAAGCGTCCCCATGTAATCTCCTGACCAATTGTCTGACCCCTAATCATCTGTGGGCAGAGAATTCCAGCATCTATCAGTGCTTACACCCGCTGCTGCACTGTGCTCCACTCTCACCCAGGTGAGACAGACCTTTCCTGTTGACCTTCTAAGTTGTCTTGGGCTGGAAAATTGTTTCACTCCATCCTTGTGTTGGTGCTGCCACTTTAGCATTCATTTTGAGGCATTCTTTTGAAGTTGCTTGGAAGAGAATTTGGGAGAGCTCAGGTAAGACTCTGCCTTTACTCCCCCCATTTTGGTTCTGCCCCTGCCTGATTAGCATTTATTAAGAACCTACTCTGTTCCAAGCTCTGGAGATACAGAGGAAGGCAAAAACAAACAAACAAACAAAAAACATCCTCCGCTCTCGCTCTCAAGGAGCTCTAGGAGTCTAATGGGGGAAATGACATAACAACAACTCTGTTAGGGGTAGTCTCAGAGGGAGAGCAATAAGATTAAGGAAGATTGGAAAAGGCTTCTTGTAGAAGGGAGGACTTTAGCTAAGAACTGAAGGAGGCCAGGGAAGCTAAGGGGTAGAGAGGAGGGAGGAGAGGGGGACAGCCAGAGGAAATGCTGAGTCAGGAGATAGAGCCTCTTGTGAGAGGAACAGCAAGGAAGCCGGTGTCACTGGGTTGTAGAGTCCATGGCCCAGATGACAAAAGGATTTCATAATTGATCCTGGAGCCACTGGACTTTACGGAATACAGGTAGAGGGTGGGGGATATGGTCAGACCTGTGCTTTAGGAAGATCAGTTCTATAGCTGAGTGGAGGATGAACGGGAGTGAGGAAAGCCCTGAGGCAGGAAATCGCACCAGGAGCTCTTGCAATAGCCCAGGTGTGAGGTGAGAAGGGCCCGTACCAGGGCGGGGGCAGTGTAAAAGGAGAGAAGGAGAATTGAAGGAGGACTGAGAAAAGACCTAAGAATTGGCAATTCAGAGATCACAGGTTACTTCAAAGTGGTCAGTTTCAATTGAGTAGTTAGGCAGAAGCTTGACAACAAAGGGTTGAGGAGTGAGTAGAAAAGAGAAGTGTCACTAAAGAGGAGTTTGGCTGAGAAAGGAAAGAGAGATAGATGCAGAACAACAGCTTGAGAGGATGGTGGGGTCTACTGAAGACTTTTTAAGTATGGGTGGAAACACAGGTGCCTTTTTAGATGGCAAGGGAGGAACCAATAGGTAGGGAGAGACTGAAGATGGTGGAGGCAATGATGGGAATTCCAACCTGCTGGAGAAGACAGGAGGGGATAGAAGGTAGGATGCACGTAGAGAGGCTGGCTCTGGCAACAGGGACCACTTATTGTCAAAAGTTGTAAAAAAGGAGGAGGGAGAATGGGGAAAGGGAGGATGATGTTATAGGGTTTTGAGATGAAACAAAGGGGAGTAGAGAGAATTCATAGCAAAAGGTCTCTATTTTTGAAGTATGAGGTGAGGGCTTTAGCTAAGAGTGTGGCAGATGGGTCATGTGGGAGATTTGAAATCACATCCATGGGGAATGAGATTGAGAATCAGTTAGGAAGAAGTATTGCCTCCATCAACTGAGGGCCAACTAGGGGTTAGATAGCATGATTGTACAGTGTACTGAGTCAGCACGGTTGTATGACATCCTCCAACTTGGTTCAGCAGCACGTGAGTGGGGACAGAGGAAGCACATGGTGTGAGTAATTTGGAGCTGAGGTTTGGCAAGCCATGCTTGGGTGGTGATAGAATCAGAGAGCAAGGGACTGAAGATCAGAGGACAGGGTGGAGCTGAACTTTTTTAACTATAGTGTTGAGATTAGGAATGGATTCAACTGAAGTCAGAGTAGGGGTAATGACATGAGAAAATACTGAGGAATGGAGGGCCTGGAGTTCATGATGAGGACAAAAGATGGACATAGGAGGACTAAGGCATAATCAGATAGAGGAATGTCAGAGTTTTCCATCGTGAAGTGGAACTATTGAAGGTGATGATGAGATCCAAGATGTGATCAGCCTCGTGTGTGCCTGAGATGGAGTGTAGGTGTAGGTCATGGGATTTGATAAGATTGAGGAACTGGAAGGTAGGATATTTCTGGAAGCATCAACATGTATTCTGAAGTATAAGGGCAAGAGTTAAGTGGGGGGGGAGTGAGAGACAGAGAGAGAGACAGAGGGGGAGGGAGGAAGGGATGGAGCTAGATGGGGAAGGAGGGAGGGAGAGAGAAGGGGAGACAGAGAGAGAGGCAGAGACAGAGGGAGGAGTGAGGGAGGGATGGAGGGAGGAGAGAGAGAGAGAGAGAGAGAGAGAGAGAGAGAGAGAGAGAGAGAGGAGAGAGAGAGACAGACAGACAGACAGAGAGACAGAGAGAGACACAGAGAGAGAGACAGAGAAAGAGAGAGAGAGAGAGACAGAGACAGAGACAGAGACTGAGACAGAGAGAGACAGAGAGAGAGAGGGGGGAGAGAGAGAGAGAGAGAGAGAGAGAGAGAGAGAGAGAGAGAAAGAGAGAGAGAGAGGAGAGACAGAGAAAGAGAGAGAGAGAAAGAGAGAGACAGAGACAGAGAGAGACACAGAGAGAGAGACAGAGAAAGAGAGAGAGAGACAGAGAAAGAGAGAGATAGAGAGAGAGGAGAGAGAGAGAGATAGACAAAGAGGATGGGGGAGAGAGAGAGAGAGAGAGAGAGAGAGAGAGAGAGAGAGAGAGAAAAGAGAGAGAGAGAGAGAGAGAGAGAGAGAGAGAGAGAGAGAGAGAGAGAGAGAGAGAGAGACAAAGGAACAAGACATGAATAGAATCCAAATCCAAGTGGTCTGTCCTGGACAAGGTGAAGAATAGGATCCAGACTAGGCACAAAGAAATAGACAGGGAACACAAACCTGACCAGGGGACGGGGGTCAGCATAGAGTCTGAGAACAATAGGCTGCAAGATGCTCCCCCCCCCCATCTTCACTTCTCCTGTTAACCCACCAGAAGTCTATCAACCAGGACAAAGAGAGAAAGAAGATTTCCGTGGTCCTCACGGCCATAGCCATCCTGGTGAATGGCATGAGTATAAGCTAATGAATAATATGATTAATTCTGCAGCACCTGACGTTTGCTACAACTCTGCAGAGCAGTTTTGATGATTCGGAAACATACTAAAAGTAAGTATCTGCCCAAGTTTCTATATTTTCTGGCCTCTGGAATGCTCTCTTCCTTTGCTTCTTAATATTTGATAAAAAATCAGGGTCTTTGTTTCCTAAGGGTTCTGCCAGTTCCTGAAGTCTCACTCATTCCCATAGTGACCATGGTATATGTAATAAGAGCTAGGGCTTTGGGTAGGGATACCAGCAGCTAAAGAACATCTGAGCAGGAGGGATCTGATTTCCATGTAAACCCAACTTCTCCCCCTTCTACCCTGAACAAAATGGTGAAAGTTATAAGGGAGCCAAGACTGTCAGAGCTGAAATGGACCTTTGAAAACAATGTTAGAGATGGAAGATGCCTGAGATCATAGAATGTCAGGGCTGGAAGGGACTTGGGGACACAGATTGTCAAAGCCAGAAGTGATATTGGAACATAGAAGAGTAGAATTTGAAGGGACATTAGAACATATAATTATGTGACTGGAAGTGACCATTAAAGATAGCAGCTAGCATTTATATATTACTTTGAGGTTTGTAAAGCACTTCACAAGTATTATCCCATTTGATCCTTTCAACAATCCTGTGAGGTAAGTGCTATTGTGATTCTCATTTTACAGATGAGGAAACTGAGGCAGGCAGAGGTTAAGAGATTTGCCTGAGTCTGAGTGTCTGAGGCAGGATTTGAACTTAGCATTCCTGACTCTAGGTTCATTCAGTCATCTAGATCAATCTAGTCCAATTCTTTAATTTTTTTTTTTTGACAGAGAAATTGAGGTCTAAAGAGAAGGCCATTATGAGGATCATTGCTTTGGAGCTTAAAGAGACCTTAGAGGCCATTAAGTCCTAGCCCATCATTTTATATCTGAGGAAACTGAGGCATAGAGTCCTTAAGTGACTTGCTTGGGGTCACATAGCTAGTCTCTGAGGCAGGATTTGAACCCAGGTCCTACTTATTTCGACTCTAGTGCTCTATCTACTTTACCAAGGCATGGTAAATTGTAGTACATTCTATAGTGTCAGCTGTTATTTTTACTTAATATTACTCAGGAAACTTAGTGGCAGAGCTGGGAACCAAACAATCTCTAGACTCCTAAGATTCGATGGCAGAGTGGAGTTTCCTCGTTTGAAAACTGGGGCTACTAATGGCATCTACTTCCCAGGGCTTTAGTGAAGATCAAATGAGATAATATTTGTGAAATGCTTACCTGGCACATAGGAGGTGCTTAATAAATGCTTGTTTTCTTCCCTTCCCTTCCCAGGTTGGTTCTCTTTTTACTAAGCAATCAGCCAGTCTACAATCAGTTTATTAAGGGCCTACCTACTATGTGTCAGCACTAAGACACAAAGACAAAAATGAAACAGTTCTTACCCTTCAGGGGCTTATGTTTTAAGAGGTAAACCACACGTGCATGTATAGGTATATAAATACATACAAAAAGATAATCAAGAGGGGGTGCTAGCATCAGAGGGAGGGCTCAGAAAGACTCTGGGAGGGTCTCGGAGGCTGCCTTGGATGAATGTTCTGTACAAGAGCTACAGAACACCAATATATGCAGCATCTTGGCACTCCCCAGGTTTCATGTCCTTCGCCTGCTTAGTGCCAATCTACCCTTCTTTCCCCAACCTTCCCACCACCAAAACTTCCCAGATGTCAGTGTCCTCCTGCTTTCTCCCTTTCCTCTATTAAGGCCTATTCTTAGGGGGAGACTTATTTACACTAATGTGTAATTGACTGACAATGGCTTGGTCTGGTGCTGAGAGGGATAGTGTGAGTGAGTGGTTGAAGACGGGAAAGAACTGAGGAGTCAGGACAGAGCCTTACGCTGAAAGGATAAAGGAAGGAAATTCCTTGAAGGAATTTGCCATATGTGCCAGTGGGTGGAGTGGGTATCTTTTAGGCATAAGGAACCTCCTGTCACCACCGAAATCATGCCAAGTTATAGTTCGCCTACAGGTAGGGACCACAGAAACAGAGGTGTGCTCAAGAGTCTACAAGGGATCTTGGAGTGTCTAGGGATCCAAGCTTCTATGAGAGGCTTACCTCCAGTGGACAACTCCCTCCCCATTTCAGAACAAAGGGCAAGAGAGGCTAGGAGAGAGTGAGATTGTGACCTTGGATAAGTCACTTACCATTTCTCTGCCACTTAACTGTGTTGTCTACTACTTTACCTCCCTTTCTTAGGAACAAGACCTCCGCAACAGCTGCTCATATGATACCGCTTTGCTGCTCTCCAGGAATTCCAATCTTAGCACAGCCTGACTGTAAACAAGGACACCTAATTCCTCCGTGGCACCAGGGAGAGAGAGGCTAAAGGGAGGACCAGAGAGACCCTTAGAAGAGCTTGCAGAGTGAATAAAGGCTCACCAATGGGGAGACACTATGGTACTCTGGAAAGAGCACCAGCTTTGGCGGCAGGAGACCTGGGTTCCAATTCCATCTCTCATAATCTGAGTGACTTTGGACAAATGACTACTTACTCTCAGAGCCTTAGTTTCTTTATCTATAAAATGAGGAGATTGGACAGGCATCCTCTCACATTCCTTCCAACTCTAGATTTACGATCCACAGATCCAATTTCTGTATCTTCTTAAGTGAAGCCAAATTTTCCTTCCAGGACCAGATCTTGACTTTGTCCAGGCCAGAGGATAAGCATGGCAGGGATGAATGGCATGCTTCTGGCGCCTTCCAAACTTTGTTGGCAGATGGTCATCTCATGTGCCTTTAGAGCTCCTAGCCTTCACTGAACTTACCAGCTCTAGGAGCTTTCAGCCTGTCCAGATGGCTCCCACAAACTCAAGTGGGCCAATGACAAACAAGGAAGGACCTACCTGTCCCTGAAAGAAAGGAAGAGTGGAAGAGAGGAGGAATGAAGAAAAGGAAAAAGAAAAAAGTGGGTAGGGGCAGCTAGGGGGCACAGTGGAGAGAGCACCAGCCCTGGATTCAAGAAGACCTGAGTTCAAATCTGGCCTCAGACACATAACACTTACTAGTTGTGTGACCCTGGATAAGTCATTTAACCCCACTGCCCAACCAAAAAGAAAATAAAAGAAAAAGGGAAAAGTGGGGAAGGAAGAGAAGAAAATAATGATTGGGGTATAAAAGATTTAGACCTGGAAGGAACCTTTGAGATCATCTAATTCAAGGCTGTGTCGTTGTTGATGTTGCTTGTCCTTCATTCTCGAAGAGGACTGTGTGTGGTCCATGTAAAAAGTGTGTATTTCAACACAGGTTGTCTATATGCTGTTTTCAGGGAAGTGTTGACAGACAGCCGTGGAATCTTGCCCACCGTGATTTTTGCCTAGAGGGAATCAGGAAAAGGGACCACAAAATTGGCCACTCTGTTTTCCTCTGGGCAAGGTGGGTACGAGGCTAGAATTATATCTATCTTCCCCTTCTCCTTAAATATTGCTGGTCTAACGACATGATGGTTTCAGAACAAAAAGCCACTAACTTCACTGGCTATTATCCCTTAAAGGGAGAAAGGCAGCCCTAAGCTTAGACCTTCGGGCTGAACTCCTTCTCGTCACAAGCTAGTTACACAAAAGATCATCACAAAGACTTGTATGGACTGATGCTGAGTGAAGTGAGGAGAATCAGGAGAATGTTGTACACAGTAATAGGTTGTGTGATGACTGACTTTGATAGACTTAGCTCTTCTCAGCAATGCAAGCATCTGAGACATCTCCAAAATTCTCATAATGGAAAATGCTATCCACATCCAGAGAAAGAACTGTGGAGTCCGAATGCAGATCAAAGCATACTATTTGCTCTTTTCTTTTCATCTGTTTTGTTTTGTTTCTTTTTCTTGTGGTTCCTCCTATTGGTTCTAATTCTTCTTTACAGCATGACTAATGTGAAAATATACTTTAAAAGAATGTATATGTTGAGCCTATATCAGATTGCACACCATCTTGGGGAGGGAGGCAGGGAAAGAGGGGGAGAAAATTTAAAACTCAAAAGCTTATGGAAGTGATTATTGAAAACTAAAAATAAATAAATTAATTTAAAAACACACACACACACACACAAACAAAAGATTGTCACAAATAGTGAATAGGAAGGGATGCTGGGGGTCTTGTATCCCACTCTCCTCTTTTTCTAGAGGAGCCAACATTCACATAGGAGACCCTGAGAGAGGTGTGACTCACCCAAGATCATAACAGGTAACAAGTTGAATAGCCAGAATTCAAACTCAAGTTCCCTTAACTTGACTCTGAATTCAGTGTGCTCCCCATCGCATCACACAATTCTCAGGGCATGAGAGGAAAGCCGGTACTTTCTCTGCTGGCCTTTTGGAGAAGGAAGATCAGATTGCTAACTGCTGAAGCCACTTGATCTGAGCATTGGCATTGAGGCCTTTTAAAGTTTCCGAGTGAAAGAGAACTCAGTCAAGTCTCACCCTCTCTGTGAAGCCTCCCTAAAATCCCCCAGACCTCACTTCCCACAAGGGGTCTTACCCTCCTCTGAACACACTTAGTATTCCTACTTGCTCCACTCAGCTTGGCACTCAAACATTGACACAGTATTAAAACAGGGAACAGCCTTAGAAAGTCAGTCCAACTTTCTCACTTTACAGAAGAGGAATGGATGGGGACAGCTAGGTGGCATAGTGGATAGAGCACTGGCCCTGGAGTCAGGGGGGACCTGAGTTCAAATCCAGCCTCAGACACTTACTAGTTATGTGACCCTGGGCAAGTCACTTAACCCCAAATGCCTCGCAAAAAAGAAAAGAAAAGAAAAGAAAAGAAAAGAAAAGAAAAGGAATGGATGAGAATTCAATAGAAGGGAGATTTCAGCTTGAGATCAGGAAGTTCCAGCAATCAGAGCTGCCCCACCGTGGAATGGGCTACCTCATAAGGTGATGAGCTCCCTGTCACTATAAATAATTAAGCAGAGTGTCAGAGGATCCCAAGTTAGAAGGGAGCTTAGAGACTGTCCTTCTTTTTAGAGGGGAGGAAATGATGCTAGATGGTTACCTGCTGAGGAAGCCATGGAAGAGAGCCTGCATTTGATTAAAAAAAAGGTGTAATAGAGGACATCTCAGGACCCTGCCCATTGTGAGCCCCTCTGGTTCTCTTTTTCTATGACATTGAGAACCAGAAAGTGAAGTGATTTGCTCATGGTCACATAACTGAGCAGCCTTGTGGGCTGAGCTACCTTTTCTTGTATGTAGTCACGAGGTCTTCACTGAATCGTTCCTCTCCCAGACAGATGCTCCAGACAGCACTTCATACACAGCAACGCACCAACTTAACATGAGCTGATCTCAGAGCTATTACCAGCTGTAGCTGTATTTTTTGCTTCTGAGACAAGTACCACAAACTGTGCCAGGGCAAAAGACATGGAAAATGCCCTCCGTTGGATGAAGATAAGGGGAGGCAGAGGAAATTTGAGGAGATCAGAATATGACAAGAGAGCTCATTTTAGCTCAAAGCAGACACCAGAGAAGATAGATTACAGATGTAGCATCCATTGAAAGGGACCTCAGGCACCTAGACATTCCGATAGTCCAACCCCTCGATTTACAAAGAGGTTCAGTGATTTGTTCAAGATTATACAAGTAATAAGTGGAGGAGCCAGGGTTAAAACCTATGTCCCCTAACATCAACCCCAAACTAATACTGAACATAGCTATAGCATTTTTTTTTATTTATCAAAGCACTTTTACATACATAATTCTACTGTAATCATTGGAATTATATTACTCTGTGGAATAAGGTAAGGCAACTATTATTATCTTTTATTTTCAGTAGCCTCTAAATTTGGTACTCTGGGACAAAGTCCCTCTGGCTCCATCCTGGTTAAAGTTCTAACTATTGCCTACTACTACCATTTGGCTAGGTGGTGATGGTTATGTGGCATTGTGGCGCTGTTCTCTGAAGTCATCGGTTCATCTTGTTTTCTTGGGTTGTCTGCTCTCAGGGTGCAAACAGTGGAACCATTGTCCTAAAGGACTTAACAAAGACTCAGTATGAATGAAAGCTTAGGCAGCCTCTTCACAGCTGTCATGGTTATTTTCATCATTATCTATAGCTTCCATTATTATTTTTTAACTTGCCAGGCAAGGTGATGGAATCAAAAGTGTACTGACCTTAAGAATCAGGAAACCAGGGTTCAATCTCATCTTCAATATTTCCTGAAGTTATATGAGAAAAAAACTTTTAAAAAACCATTTTTTCTGATTTTTTTTTTGTTCTGAACTTAACAAACACCAGATAAAATGAGCCTAGTAGCACAGGGAAACAGAAAAAGAAGATTCTATGTGAAACTTCAAATCTCTATAAGGAAAAACTTTTTTTTCCTAAATGCTATCCCTTTTTCCCTACCCTCCTCCTCCCTGAGAGAGTAAGTAATCAGGTAAAAGTTATACATGTGCAATTATGTAAAACATTTCCATATTAGCCATTTTGTACAAGAAGACTCACATTAAAAAAATGAAAGAAAGTGAAACCTAGCATGCCTCAGTCTGTATTCAAACAATATCAGTTCTTTTTCTGGAGGTGGATAGTATACTTCATCATTAGTCCTTTGGGATTGTCTTGGATCACTGGATTGCTGAGAATAGCTAAGTCATTCACAATTCTTCATTGAACAATATTATTGTTACTGTGTACAACATTTTCCTGTTTCTGTTCACTTCACTGTGCATCAGTTCATGTAAGTTTTTCTGAAATCATCCTGCTTGTCATTTCTTACAGCACAGCAATATTCCATCACAATCATATATCACAGCTTGTTTAGCCATTCCCTAATTGATGGGAATCCCTTTTATTTCCAATTCTTAGCTGCCACAAAAAAGCTGCTATAAATATCTTTGTACAAATAGGTCTTTTCCCCCTTTTTATGATCTCTTTGGAATATAGACTTAGCAGTGCGATTGCTGGGTCAAAGGGTATGCACAGTTTTATAGCCCTTTGAGCATAGTTCCAAATTACTCTCCAGAATGGTTGGATAAGTGCACAACTCCAACAACAGTGCATTACTGTCCCAGTTTTCCTATATCCAACATTTAAGGGAAAACTTTCTAATACTCAAAGCTGTCCAGCAATGTAATGTACTGTTCTAGGAGGTTAATGAATTCCCTATCCACGGAGAATTTCAAACAGGGGATCATAGAATGTTATCAATGAAAGGGACCTCAGAGATTCCAAAGCTGTTAGTCCAACCCTTCTCACTTTATGGATAACAGGGGAAGTACAGGAGAATGTAAAGAATGTAAAGTGGCTTTTTGTTTTGTTTTGTTTTATATTCCCAGGTCCTAGTATAATGCCTGGCCCATAACAGGCATTTTAAATATCTTTGTTGAATTGAGATGAAGAAAAATAGTCCCAGAAAAGGGAATAGTCTTGCCGAGCAGCACAAAGGTCAATGCAGCAGAGTCAGGATCTGAACCCAGAT